TGGTGTAAATCTCTTCTCACAACGCTCTTTACTGCGTTCATGATTCGTGTCCGTACGAAAATGAAGGCTGATTATATATGCGATTCAGAGTTATGTTTTGTACATAACGAAATTTGAAATCTGATTTTTTTTTTCAGATTCAAATTTTGTACAGATTAATCTGATGAAAAGCCCGATTCACAATGGGAGGAGTTTTTTTTTTTTTTGGATTTCATTATTTTTTCGTCTTTGTTTCGGATTTCCCCTCAACTTCCTATCAGCTCAAGTATACGCATGAGCCGAGAAGTGTGTATTATTATACACACACACACACACACATATATATATATATATATGAATTGTAATGACTGGTTTAGATTAAGATAAACATGTCCCTTACAATTTTCTTCTCGTAGAGTTTATATATATATATTTACATATAAAAATTCGTTTTTATTTAATTATTCTCTCGTTTGTCCCATTAATTAATTCTCAATTTTATACATACGGAAAAGATGAACGAATCTCTTTATATTTCCGACATATTTCTTCGATTCATGAGGTTTTTGAAACGGTGTATATATGTTTCCTTGGGTATCATTTCATGTGAAAACTCCATTTCTTATCAAATGGCAATGAATGTTATATATATATATATATATTAGTGGGAGAAAGATATGATTTCATGTTAATAAATCTAACAGTTATAAATCAACTGTAAAAATACCGTTTTATCTACCGTTCTTAATCTCACACCATACACACATATACATATAGGCAGATATACAAAGGAATACAAATTCGAATTTCCACGTGGAATTAAGGAGGCATATATGTTCTAAATGCAACGAATGATTTAGAAGGAAATCTATATAAGCTGATATTATCTTTGGAGTTTTCATGCTTATTACAACACCAAATGGCTAGGCCCTTAAGGCAAGATTTGTTGTCTTTCCCAACTGATCGAATCCTCGACACATTTTGCTTATTTGTAGCCGAACTTTGCACTTATGGGATCCTCAGGAGACGCACCTTTTTTCGGAACATTTGCGAACGGCGAAAACCTCTTCGATATCGACACCGCGCCGCCGCCCTTCAGCCCCCTCTTCTTCGTTGCCTCTCCCGAACCCCCCGTTTTTTCATTCATGGTATCGTTTTCTTTCCCTTTTTCTTTCTCGCCTTTGCTTTTTCCCCCGATAAACGAACTCTTTCCTCGGCCTTTTTTCACATTACTGGCTCGAATAGATCGGTTTTCGGGGGCTTACATTTATGGTTTCACACAAATGAAGTAAAATCCAAACAAAGGGCAAAAAAAAAAAATACAAGTCTTTTATTAATGGAACTCTTTTTTTGTTGATCTATCTTTGTATTTGTCTTGTAATAAACCTGAGTTTTCACGACAGGACTGTCTTGATGAGGTTCCTTCGTTGCCGGTGCCGGAAACGGGGACCGACCTACCTGCCGGAAACAACCCTGTTCCTGTCGTGAACGAAGCCGATCTCTCGTCAAACCAGAATCAGCTCGCGAATACTCAACCGCTGCCCGAAAGTCAGAATCTCGATTCCTTGCTGTACGATCCGTTTTTCGACCAGGCGCTCAATGCCTTCCTTGAAGGGGTAATGATATGATTTTTTTTTTATAAAAAGAATCTTGATAATGAAACTAGAAAATCTATATAATCAATGAGGGTTTGATTTGATTTTTTTTTATTATGATATTTTACAGCAACAACAGGTGGAGGGTCCGTACGAGATCTACTCACAGAATAACTTGCCAGTGGGTCCATCAGTGCAGACGCAGCAGCCCCTCGTCTGTCCGAACACGGCGACTTACTCTGACGTCGTGTCGGTCCAAGGAAACAATAACTATCCATATGATCCAACAACGGTATATACAACATAATCATTTATAACTGTTAATTTTACATATTTATATAAAAAAAATTCACTTAAATGGCTTCTTTAAATGATTTTTGTAATGACCCAGATCGAGAACAATCAGCAGATCGGACAGAGAAATGGGTTCGAGCAAGCAAACATGGGAGGGTCCGGACAAGTCAACGCCGCCTTGGATTTCCCAGTCAGCTTCCAGTCACAGCCTCAAGAGCCAGCGTACGTATATACGAATTACAAATTCTTTTTTTTTTTTCTGTTGAAAATTAAATTACAATGGATATATACAAAACTATTTCTTATAACGCTCTCATGTGTATAATCTAATGTAGGACGATGCAAGATGTGGACCAGCCGAACCCACTTAGCTCGGTGTATGACCAACTCATACGCAATTTCTCGAATAATGATGTACTAATTCCGAGCCCGGTGAGTTAATTAATTATATGATATGTTTTTTTTATAACAAATTATTCAAATTTCAACCTCATAATGTTTTGCAAGTTCTTACAGAGAGAAACAAGTGGGTCCATCAACAGGCAGCGAAATCCTCTTCTGATCCCAACCTCTTCAACAAGGTACAATAAAAACTTTTTTTTCTTACATATCATATGGAATCTGCATATAAAATATAAAAGTTTTGATAATCAGTAAGAGACGACCATAATCGAAAAAACGTGTAATAACAAATTGTAATAATCTAATTTTATGACTATATATAGGGGTCCGGCCCGGTCAAGCAATATGCAGAGTTCTTCGAACCAGACATCGGATTTTGTAACAAACCAAGAGTGTTATAATAATAATCCCATGTTACCAAACCCTATCGTCTCAAATAACCTGTAAGCGACTCTTTTTTAAATTCATATAATAAACTCTATAATCATATATTATAAAACTTACAAAACTGAAATTTTTTTTTTGTAACGTTCTTGTGTAATGTAAAGACAACAAAGCTACCAACCGTATTCTCCTTACCAGCATGACCAATTCACTCCATTACCGAACCGTTATTCTCCAGTACAAGACTTCACTTCCTATCCGACAACTCTTCCTCCGATCTTGCCGAGGTAAATCGATATTGTCTTTTTCCGATCGAAAATAAACAAAGATCTCTGAATATTCGTGGTGAATCATAACAGGCCTAACCCGCAACCTCAACAATTTGACGGCTACTCTTTTCCGTCCGCTTCGGCCGACGTTGATGACGATGAACCTCTTGCCTTAAGGATGGTCAGAGCATCGGCTCGGTAAGATCTCTCTCTCTCTCTCTCTCTCTCTCTCTCTCTCTCTCTCTCTCTCTCTGCAGAAAGACTGACTAATTCTCCTTCTTACATCTCCTGAAAAACAAAATGGTACGATAAAGGATGCGTGCTTATGGTCATCAGAGCCATCAGCATGCGGGTGTAAACCCAAGGTAAATACCATATACTTCAACCCTTTTTGATGTTGCATATGTTTCTCTAAAGTCTAAAGCAAAGAATTCAATTTGAAAACAAAAAAGACTTATAGGGTTTTAATTAAATTAATGATAATAATTTTAACTCAAAAAAAACTCTTGATTTGATTATATATATAGAGCATATGCACCGGTAAACCAAGCTTCTACACCATCTAGCTTGATGGGTCCGCTGCAAGACATTCCATTGATACCCAGATCTCAACCTCTCTTCGACTCTACCGGGTACGGATCAAATCCAATATTATCAGCTAAGAAATTGTATATTATAAAGTTTTTATGTTATATATATATATATATAGAGAGAGAGAGAGAGACCTAAGAATTGCATACTTTTAATGTGATATGGAACTGATCAAACCCTTTTTTGGAACATCATTTTAGGTTGCAATACGCACAAGGGCCGATTAATCAGCCTTCTCGGACAAGTTCTATGTACAATGGACTTGGCAACCAACCACAGAATACGTATATGAACTCAACCAATCTGGTAAAAATATTTCTCATCTTAAAACTTTTTTTTTTGTTGAATTTATACTTTCTTGTTCATGAGTGAATAAATTTATATATATATATATAACGTTGTTTTCAAATAGGAAATCGGAGGCGACGGCCACAATGAGCAATCATCATCAACACGTAGAAGATCGACGAACAGGAACAAAGATGTACATCGCCAACATATCCACTATATAATTACATTATATGAATATATATATATATATATATATATATATATATATATGGATGATTTCCATGATTATTAGACGGTTCAAATCCTAATATAAACTATGATAATATTGTATATGCAGAAGGGAGTTCTCGGACTAGGAGGTTACAGGGGTCAATTTGAACATGGACAAACATCTAAAAGAAGGGTAATGTCTAACACACCATATATAATTTATCATTCTTGATGAACAACTAATGTATGGCACCTAAATGGAATCATATAATAACAAAAACAAATATATATATATATATATATTATATGAAACAATGCAGAGGACGTTCTTGCAAGGAGAAAGCTCGAGATTAGAACTACCTGTGGCTTCTCGATTACTCAACGGAAGCTTCGGACCGACCCACCCCTTCGACGACAGGTCGGTTTCTTGGACTATATGATGCATAATATATATATTAATTAATTATGAAGTATCGAACTAAATATATATAGTTTTTTTTAATTATTGTTTCAGGCCAACGCAAAATGCAGTATATGACCCAATATACGAAGGCGTTGGTCTGCCGGTCGATCCCCATCTCAGACTGTTTGATAAAAGTTAGCGAATGATCTTTTGCTTCGACAATTTTTTGTTGTCCGGAATTTCGGTGTAATAAGATCGTCTATGCCTTCATGAATTGGATCGGATACTGCATTTTCTCCGTCGGATGTGTATATTATATATATATATATATATATATATATATATATATATATATACCCAAAA